TCAAAAATAAATAAGCACTTTTCAATATGTTTAGCAAAATCATTCATTATTAACCCATTTATTAATTACTTTTCTATTTTATTTTCATTATTTTCAACACATTCATTATTTATTATTTTCATAGGAGTAATAACCTTGGTGCAGATGGAGCTAAGAACATTGGAATGAGCTTGGAGAAGTGCCAAAATATAACATCTTTGGATCTCAATCTCTAGTAATTTAACTAACTATCAATTTATTTAGTTTTTTTTAATTAATACATTTGTGAAATTGAAACTTAAAACAAATGGGTTTGGAGAATTAATTAATTGATTGATTCACAGCTCATAAATTATTTTTTGATTTTTTTGTTTAATTTTTGTGCATCTAAATTTATTTGTTTACGAATTGAAACAATTATTCCAATTAATTGCATCAAAATTAAATAAGCACTTTTCAATATGTTTAGCTAAATCATTCATTATTAACCCATTTATTAATTACTTTTCTATTTTATTTTCATTATTTTCAACACATTCATTATTTATTATTTTCATAGGAATAATAACGTTGGTGCAGATGGAGCTAAGAACATTGGAATGAGCTTGGAGAAGTGCCAAAATATAACATCTTTGGATCTCAATCTCTAGTAATTTAACTAACTATCAATTTATTTAGTTTGTTTTAATTAATACATTTGTGAAATTGAAACTTAAAACAAATGGGTTTGGAGAATTAATTGATTGATTCACAGCTCATAAATTGTTTTTGATTTTTTTGTTTAATTTTTTTTGTGCATCTAAATTTATTTGTTTACGAATTGAAACAATTATTCCAATTTAATTGCATCAAAAAATAAATAAGCACTTTTCAATATGTTTAGCAAAATCATTCATTATTAACCCATTTATTAATTACTTTTCTATTTCATTTTCATTATTTTCAACACATTCATTATTTATTATTTTCATAGGAATAATAACCTTGGTGCAGATGCAGTTAAGAACATTGGAATGAGCTTGGAGAAGTGCCAAAATATAGCATCTTTGAATCTCTATCTATGGTAATTTAACTAACTATCAATTTACTTAGTTTGTTTTAATTAATACATTTGTGAAATTGAAACTTAAAACAAATGGGTTTGGAGAATTAATTGATTGATTCACAGCTCATAAATTTTTTTTGATTTTTTTGTTTAATTTTTTTTGTGCATCTAAATTTATTTGTTTACGAATTGAAACAATTATTCCAATTAATTGCATCAAAATTAAATAAGCACTTTTCAATATGTTTAGCAAAATCATTCATTATTAACCCATTTATTAATTACTTTTCTATTTCATTTTCATTATTTTCAACACATTCATTATTTATTATTTTCATAGGAATAATAACCTTGGTGCAGATGCAGTTAAGAACATTCGAATGAGCTTGGAGAAGTGCCAAAATATAGCATCTTTGAATCTCAATCTATGGTAATTTAACTAACTATCAATTTACTTAGTTTGTTTTAATTAATACATTTGTGAAATAGAAACTTAAAACAAATGGGTTTGGAGAATTAATTGATTGATTCAGAGCTCACAAATTGTTTTTTGATTTTTTTGTTTCATTTTTGTGTATCTAAACTTATTTGATTACGAATTGAAACAATTATTCCAATTAATTGCACCAAATAAATAAACACTTTTTAATATGTTTAGCAAAATAATTCATCACTGATTAATAAATTATTTTTATTTTTCTATTTTAGTTTAATTATAATATATTTATATATTTTATAGATTTGATGATTTCGAACACAAATTCAAAATTAAAATGGACAATTGAAAAAAAATACAAAAAATTAGTATAAAATAATATATTTATCTGTAAATAAATATTGATAAATAAATGAAGCTAATCACAAATTTTAAATATCCATTTATAAATAATTTTTTTATATGAATTTCATGTTCTAAATGTAATTAATCTTATAAAACTGATAGAAAAATAACAAATTAAATTATCATTACAACGCATAAATACATATTTATTAAAATTCATAAAAATGTTTTTTCATTTAAATTAAATTTATTGTTTAAAATATCTTATTAAAATTTTAAACTATTTTAACTTTATTATTTTTATTTCAAATAAAGATAGACTTTAAAAAACTTAAATTTCTTCATCAAAAAATTAAATATTGGAACAAGATTAGTTGAAGATTGTGTAAATATAAGAATTTTAGAGATAGGCATAGGGTTATATAAATAACTTATTTTAAAGCATTTATAAATAAAATAATCTTAAAATAATTATTTCCACCATTAAACAAAATAATAATTTCTTTAAACTTTAAATTAGCGAAAATAATATTAGCCTATAAGGAGAAGAAAACCTATTTATAAATATAAATAAATTATTTAATCTGACTTAATTGGATACTGGTTTCAGGTGAAATAAATGTAAACTTTAATATTTATTAAAACATTAATTTCTCTTTAAAAATTAATTAATCTTTAAATATTTAATTAAATATATTAACTTTCTATCTCAATAATTATATATTAAATTATGTGGCAATAATATTGTAGACGAAGGAGCATCAATAATCGGAATAAAATTAGGACAATGCTCAGCTATCTTTTTTTATAAATTGGATTAGAGTAAATTATGCTAAAATTTAAATTAGTATTTCTTAAATTATCAAATTTAATCATTAAAATAAAAAGGATTGTAATATAGGAGATCAAGGACTTATTATTTTGATAAAAGGATTAGGAAATTGTGAAACTTTGACTACAGTGCAGTTATATTTATTTATCTAATCTTTTATTTAGATTCATTTATTTATAATAAATTCAATCTTTCAAACTAATAATGACTAATATTTATCATATAAATTTATTTATTACTATTAATTTTAGAAAAAATAATATTACTGATATTTGAGCATCATATTTTGCTACAGAATTGTAAAATATGCACAATTGAAAAAGTTAAAAATCTATTTACGGGAAAATTATTAATCAATATTTTTCAAGATAATTGCATTCTTAAAAAAATGAATAAATTATATTTTATAATTTAAAGGAACAATTAAATTACTGAAGTTGGAGAATCAAGTTTGGCTATAGGCTTTAGCTAAATTAAAAGCCTATTAGTATTGGATATTGGATTAAGTAAATTTATTTTTTCTTTATTAAACTAAATAAAATATAAAATTTTGATAAACTAATTAATTTTATATTTATAAGCCTAAATGATAAAATTCTTAGATAGAAAGCATTAAAAAATTGTCAAAACATTAAAATTATTAAAGTTTCATTCATGTAAGTACATACTATTTGTTGAAGAATTTATTATAATAAATTTTTATTTTTAATAAAATTTAAATGAATTTAGGTAATTTTAAAAAAAAGATATTGTGACAAATTTTGTTAATTAGACAAAAAAGATAAAAAGTTTAGTACTTTTCAAGTATAGATTCTGAATCTTGAGTTTAATTATCTAAATTAAATATAATTAAAAAAATATTCTTCAATAAACAATCATTATACGATATAATCTTAAAAAACTTTACTTACTATTGAATTAATTTCTCTCAAATAAATAAATAATTTTTAATTTAGACAACAATTTTCAATTGTAAAATAAGATAAATATATATTATTTGTTAGTAAATTTATATATAATTAGATAGATAAAACACATTTATTTAAAAAATTTATTTGCTTAAATTTATTTATAATAGTAATAATACTATTTTATTTCAAATCATATCAAAAAATTATATTAATTATGCTTTTTTAGTATTAACATTTTTAATCTTATGGTAGAGTAAAATTCATTCTATTCAGTTTGAAAATTTTAATTTTTAATGATATATCTTTAAAAAGATATTGTGACAAATATTGTTAGATAGATAAATGATAAAAGAGTAGTATTTATTTTTCAAATAAGGATCCATAATCTTGAGTTTAATTATCTAAATTAAATATAATTAAAAAAATATTCCTCAATAAACAATCATTATACGATAGAATCTTAAAAAACTTTATTTTAAAATTAATTTCTCTGAAATAAATAAATAGTAATTAATTTAGACAAAGATTTTAATTTGTAAAATAAGATAAATATCAAAAATAAAAAAAGAAAGAAGTTTAACTACTTGCTTATCATTCAATTTTTAAATAAAAACTTATTGATATTAGAATTTTTTCAATTATATATGACTAAATAAATAACTGGCCATCTCTAATTCCTACTATATATATTTTTAAGTATATGTTTAAATACAAATATTAAGTTTAAATAGTCAATGTTAAATTAATTTTTCTGCGATATCTCTTCATAAAGCCAAATATATAAATTATTATTTGATAATTAATTAATTAATTATTATATTTATTTGTTCTTTTTATCTATTTATAATTAATTAATTAAATTTCATAAATTGCTATTCAATATTTTTGAAGGAAAAAAAATGATATAATAGATTAAATATTATTAAGAATTAGAAGAAGTAATTATTAATTTTTTTATTAATATCCTTTAAATTTATATAAATTAATAAAAAAAGTTTTTAAGCTCTTCACTTTTATCTCATTAGGTTCTCCATATTGATCTGAGGTATATTTAATTAAAAAATATTATTTTTATTATTATTAATATTTTTTGTATTTTTAATTTACAATTTATTTAAATAAATAATTTTTATTATAGAAATTATCATCATTATTTATTTATTGATTTTATTCAAACAAAAATTTTTTAGCTATTTTAACTTCAGTTCCATTTCCATTTTTTATTTTTTATTATTTGATATTTTTTCTTCATTTTTTCTATTAAAACTTACACTTAGTAAAAGCAGTTTATTTATTTTGCATTTTAATATTTTTAATAATAAAGTTTAATTTAAAACATTAAATCTCTTATCATTATTTTGATTTGTTTTCCTTTTTCTTTTTTTTATGATTTCTTATTTTTTTGATTTAATTTTATTATTTCATATTTTTTCTTCATTTTTTCCTCCTAATTAACTAAAGTGAAATGCCTATTTAATTTATAAAAGGCGAAATATAATATATATTTATAATATGATAAATATAGATAAATTAGGTTAAAACAGCTTTATTTTTTAGTTTTTAGAAAGCTTTAAATTCACAAAATGTAAAATTTGAAATAATATATATCCTAAAGTCCTTAATTAAGAGAGTCCCTAATTGAAGTGAGGGTATCTAATTTAAGGGATTAAGAGAGTGAAATTTATAAATTAATTTCTTATTTTCTCCCTTAAATTAGGGACTTTAAGGTATCTTGTATTCTAATAACATATCATTTTTTTTGAAAATAAATTTTGAAAATTTAGGATTTCAAAAATTCAAAAAAAATATTTTAAAATTTTATAAATTGTAAAAATAATATATAAAACTCACTTTTTGTAAATTTGTATGGCAACTTATTCTGTTTAATGATATATTTTTTCTTCAATATTTAAAAAGTAAAAATTTAATTGGTGATGAAGGTGCATCAGGCTTAAGTTCTGCTTTAGCAAATTGCATTAATCTCTCAAATTTGACACTTGATCTTAGGTAAAAACAGTTTGTTTGTTTTGGATTGTGATATTTTTAATTATAAAAACTAATTAAAAACTATAAGGCTCTTTTTTCTTTTTCTTTTTATTGGGATTGCTTTTTTTGTTCTTTCTTTGTTAATTTAGCTCATCATTTTATTTTCAACTTTTGCTTTTATTATTAAATAATTAATTTTATTATTTCATATTTTTTCCTTCTAATTAACAATTTAATGATATATTTTTTCTTCAATATTTAAAAAGTGAGAATTAAATTGGTGATGAAGGTGCATCAGGCTTAGGTTCTGCTTTAGCAAATTGCATTAATCTCTCAAATTTGACACTTTATCTTAGGTAAAAACAGTTTGTTTGTTTTGGATTGTGATATTTTTAATTATAAAAACTAATTACAAACAATAGAGCTCTTTTTTCTTTTTCTTTTTATTGTGTTTGCTTTTTTTGTTAATTTAGCTCATCAATTTATTTTCAACTTTTGCTTTTATTATTAAATAATTAATTTTATTATTTCATATTTTTTCCTTCTAATTAACTATTTAATGATATATTTTTTCTTCAATATTTAAAAAGTGGGAATTAAATTGGTGAATGAAGGTGCATCAGGCTTAGGTTCTGCTTTAGCAAATTGCATCAATCTCTCAAATTTGACACTTTATCTTTAGGTAAAAACAGTTTGTTTGTTTTGGATTGTGATATTTTTAATTATAAAAACTAATTACAAACAATAGAGCTCTGTTCTTTCTTTCTTTCTTTCTTTCTTTGTTAATTTAGCTCATAAATTTATTTTCAACTTTTGCTTTTATTATTAAATAATTAATCTTATTATTTCATATTTTTTCCTTCTAATTAACTATTTAATGATATATTTTTTCTTCAATATTTAACAAGTGATAATTAAATTGGTGTAATGGGTGCATCAGGCTTAGGTTCTGCTTTAGCAAATTGCATTAATCTCTCACATTTGACAATTTGCCTTAAGTAAAAACAGTTTATTTATATTAGATTGTGATGTTTTAAACTATAAAAATGAATATAAAATAAAAAAACTCTTTGAATTTATTTGATAACTTTTATTTGATTTATTTTTTTATATTTTTATAGTACTAATATTATTTTATTTATTAATTTAAAGAATAATTTTTAATTTAAAAGTTTATTTTATTTTGATATTTATTTTAATATTTATATAATTTTATTATAAACTTTTTAGCTCAGAGAATAAATCATAAAAATTAAAAGTAATCTGCAAGTGTCTTAAATCAAAAAGATTAGTTGTCTTTAATATTGATTTCTATTGATAAACAACTGGTGAAAAAAGGATGAATAAATATAAAATGTTTGAATAATATTATATATTTTATTATATAATATTTTGAAAAAGTGTTTTTAATCTAAAAAAAAGATAGATAGTTAACTTTTATTATTGATTTTATATTTATAAATAACATTCATATTTTTGTATGTAAATAAATTATTTGTAAAAATAAAAAAATGAAATTTACTTAAATAAATTAAATCCTCTAAGCAAACCCTCCGATTTCTCCAAAAACATTAAATAATTTGAAACTTTTAGTGTTATCTTATTAAATTATATAAATGCCAAGCTTTTATTTACTGTTATGTTTTTATCTTAAATTTTATCAATCAATCATATTTCTATCCTTTTTTTATTTATCATGATTAATTAATTAGATACCATGATTTAAATAAAACCTCAAGGAGAAATCAAATTTTACTTTTTATTTTAATTTTGTGGTTATTTATTTTTTTTTAAATAGGAGAGTTAATGTGATGAAGAACAAAATAATGTAATTTTAAGGTATGATTAATAAAAGAAGAAATTATTTTAAGAGATAGATTAGCTTGCAGGAAATAATGATCAAAATTTTTTATAATAATCTAATTTAAACTTATTACCATCTAATAAGAAAAAATTATTTATAAAATAAAATAAATTTAATTGATTTAATTGATAGTATTTTTCTTAAAAATTCAATAT